AAAGAGATCCGGTTTTATCTTAAGAAGCTTAAGAGTTTCTTCTGTTCCCCAAAATGCAGAAAAAATGTTGATTTAGCCGCTCCTAATGTTCCAGCTGCCTCCCAGATGGTTTTGTTTTGTTTTTGCAGCCTGACGATTTCCCATTTGTGCTGCTCTGACATCTCCCAATGCAAATACAAGCACAACATTTGGGATTGAGTCAAGACTTTGAGATAGAGAGGCGCATCCCACACTGGTCTGTGACACTTAATTCAAGTCTGTGGTGACCGACTACCTGTAGAAAACATCAGCAGATTAAACTACAAATTGCTGCAATTTCTGGCCTTTTCCTGAATGTGACTCTATTCATATGTATTTGTTGTATCATCCAACAAAAACAAAAGCTGTAGTTGTTGGATAACTTCATGCATATTAAGAGAAAGAAAAAAATCTGAATTTAATAGATTTGCTGCCATCAGTTTTATTTTCGATGCTGCTGAGGGTCTGGAAACCGTTTCTGCGTTTTGTTTGGACACTCAAACATTCGTTTCTCAAAGGCCGATAAGGATGATTCGGGCCATCTGTCTCTCAGCTTCCCTCCCACATTCAAATCGCGATCCCTTCACCTCTTCACCCACTCGCTCTGTTATTGCTCAGCAACAAGTGTTCAACGGCATGCGCCATTCAGACGATGAGAAAACAGATTTGGACCTTACAGTTTGCCGTAAGGTTCGAGCCTAATTCATTTCACGTAAAAAGGGGTTTTAGTTTTGAGAGGGTGATTCTTAACGGTGCCCATAAATGTGAGCGTTTCGTTTCAGATTACAAACCAGGGCCTGTCCTCACCTCGTACATACCACACGGAGTGCGTCATCTCCCTCTTTTATCCGTGACCTCTTCCCTTGAATGTAGCACTGTGCAAAAGTCTTGAGGCAATTCTCATTTCTTTATATTTTGCACCTTGTGAAGGTTTAACACAGTCTTCTTCATTTATACTTTTTCTGAATGTTTAATTATTTTGTTTAGATTTTTTTTTTTAAAGCTACTTCACACTGGGGCTGCACGACATTAGAACATTTTGCAATGGTGACAATATTATTTAAAATGGGATACATCACTACTTGCTTCTTCCCTCTCTTCCTCATCTGTGCTTCCATCACTCTGCACTCTGCGACTGTTAGCATTTTGAGCAATGTCAGTTATCTCCAATGTGATCATTTGCTGCTCTGACACAAAGCTAAAAAATACATTAGCATGAAAAATGTAAGTTCACAACCCTTGGAATATATTAGGCAACAGTTTAGGCAAAGTGAATAGACGCAGGATAAGGAGGCATTAGCATTGGTGTCAGCTGATATTTGTCATTTTTTTTAACATATCTGACGAATATGTAAAACTGTCAATTTTAATAACCAATGTTTTTTTTTTCAATCTTATATTTTGTTTTTCCGTAATGTTTTGCCAGACAAATATTGTGATTTTGTGACAACCATGTTTTTGCGTCACACTGAGTCGTCAATCACAAAATGGCGTCCCACTTTTCAATATTATTAGTTTTGTTACTAAGATTTAATTACGCAAAGCACGGTCAATCAATGTAGCTGAGTAAGTGCAACTAGTTACTACCTCGTCTGCTTTTTACAAGGTAATTGGATCTTGAAAAGTCTTGCGTTAAGAGTTCCTTATTGGCTGTTCTGCTGAGTAAAAACAAACGTGTTGGCTGAAGTTCCAGCAGTCCAATAAATCCGGTACCAAATGAAACAGACAAATCACGCCATTCTGAAGACCACACACACACTTCACGCTAGCAGGAGAGAGAGAACTGCTTTTGGCGCTTCCTTCTGGATGTCGGGAGGACAGAAACCTCCCAAAAGAGCTTCCTTATTCAGCCACAGAGTCTAAAATGTGGCAACCTTTGACACTTGGCGCTCTTTAATATATGAACTTTACTTCCTCTTTCTTCTGCTTGCTAACACAGGCAAAATACAGTTTTTAATGTTAATTTAAAAATAGTAATGAGAAACCATAACAAGCAGTAATTGTTTGAAAATTAGCCTAGACCCTGGAAAAACCCTGGAAAACATTCTTGAGAATTATACTAGAGAAGCACCGATCCGATGTTAATATCTGTATCAGTCAAGATATTCAAATAATTAATCAATTAGGTGTCAGTGACAACATGGTTGATCCATGAAGGCAGGTCTATTCAGTCTAATTCTATGCTTGGTGCTCTGAGAGATGTTATACTTTAGCTATTTTACATTATATCTAGAATTCCTACTTGAATTTCTGAACCATTTGAAAGAAAGTTTGTTGGACTTTATTTTCACATGTTTGACCAAAGTAGTCGATCTAGTTTCTTTATTTATTTCACACTTGGCTGTGTTGTTTTTACATGTTTGACCAAGCTCGGAAAGCTGTTGCTGTATTTAAGAGTGCTGTTGTGGTGCAGAGTTATCAAATAAATTTGTAATTCACCTTATTTATGTCTGCTGGTTTGAAAAAAATAGACGTTTTTGTTTAATTCAGGGCTGTTTTCTTTATTGGATTGGTGTCAGCTGATACTGAGCCTCAGATATTCGTATCGGTATCACAAGTGAAAAAAGTGGATTGAATTTAAGGCAGTAAAAAATAAACTGCCTTTTGCACAGTTCTGTACCTCTACCAAACCCCTCACTGCGGTTTTCCTCATCTTCGTCTGCAGGTTCGCCCCCACGGCACGACCCCCTACTGCTCCGACCTGCTGACTGACGGAGGCTGCGTGGCTCTGCTGGTGGTGGGCTTCCTCCTGGTCACTCCTCTGCTGGTCCTGGCGTTGGCCGCGTACTGCCGTCTGGCCCGACACCTCCAGCTGGGCCTGTGCTTCATCCCGTACAGCCGGGCCGTGTACAAGAACCTGCCGGCCACCCAGCACCGCGGCCTGGGCACCGGCTGCTGCGGCGGCAGAAACGGAGGCGAGAGCGGCAGGAAGGGAAAGGTCTGGGTGTGAGAGAGGAGAGAGATGGAGGGAGTGAGGAAGACTATTTGATGACCCATCAATGGGAAGCAGGATGAAGGTTGGGAAGAATGATTCAGAAACAGGAGGAAAAAATAAAACAAAAATAAAAGAAAGTGTGTAATGTCTTGTATCAAATCAGAACAATACCTGGTACAGAAGGTTACAGGTGTGTGTATGTGTGTGTGTGTATGTGTGTGTGTGTGTGAGAGAAGGAAAGACTCCAATTGTACTGACATCATCCTGATTACATTTCCTTCAATTGGAAGTTTCCTCTCTTTTATAACCTTCAGTTATTAAAAGTGCAGATTACGCTTCACTTAATGGATTTTAATGAATGCTGCCGGTTTGCAGCCAATTAAATTTGAGGATCAAAATGAAGCCACAGATTGAAAAGAAAAAAGCTGCCGTAAAAAATGTAGCATATTTTATGCAAAAGCAGCAGATTTACCGGACATGGAGCCATCTGTGACTTTCCTGAATAAATCACAGGAAAGAGGAAATCTGAAAATAGCGCCGGGTGATGACACAGAACAGATTTGTGTCTTATCACATTTACATCGTCATGGAAAGCTTGTAGTTTATTGTTTAGCATTGTGAACTTTGCCTGCGTCATTTCCTTTTTTATAAATAAAGTTCTTGGATTTTTCAAGAATTGTTTCTTCTTTTAAACCAGTGAGAGTAACCGACGTAATGAAACGTTTGTGTTTTATAAATCTAGGCCTTACTGGGATATTTACCTGAATATTCAGACAATTCCTTTACCTTTCTGTGACAAATTAAGCAAAGTTTCATAAACCCCCTCTGACTCAGACTTACTTTTATATTCATCACCATACAGTATTTACATCCTTATATTGTCCTTAAATGGAAAATAACAACATGCAAAAAATAAAAATACAATCCAGCAGTGGTCTGAAGTTTTGAGGCATGCAGAAAAATTATTTTTCAAATCTTAATGTTTAAAAGTTCAGACCACTGCTGAACATAAAAGTTCAACAAAATGATCTGAACCACAAAAATCCTGGTCAAACTTTGAACTGCCAAGTTTCTGAAATGTGATATTCAAATAAACTTGATTTATAAATTATATATTTCTCAATAAAACCACATGTGATATATTGAATGTTCCTTGTTGAATGTCAATACATACCACGGAAATATTTGATAAGAGCATTGATATTGCAAACTACAACAAATTTGTGGATAATAGAAAATGTAGCTTTTGTCTCCCTCTAGTGGTGATAGACCAGAATCATCAGTCGGCAAGAAATCAAATCAATTTTTGTTTTAAAAAATCTCCACAAGACCTCTTAGGAACAAAATGAACATATGACAGTATATGCATGTTTCATGAAAATCCAAGAGCGGTATTAAACATGGACAGTTTTGTTTTAGTTAAATTCACCATCTAACATGAGAAATTGAATAGAATTTTTCTTCAATTTAACATATTTGTTAAATCTGTTGCTGTCATCACAGTATCAGGAGGCAAATAATCTGAAAAAAAAAAAAACAGGCTCCTCTCCCTTCTTCTAGTGCTAAATGCAGAAATGCACAGCGCTGTCAAAAACAACCAATAAGAGCCTGGGGGAGTGTCTTATCGCTGTCAATTAGCCTCATGCATGGCCTGCTCACACCCTCTCTGATCAATTAATGACCCATGGAATGGAGGCTAACATTTCTTTCTGGAGTGGCTTTTCCAGAAAGTTTGTGACTATAAGCTTGAACCTTGGTTCTGTGCTCAGAAACTAAAAGTTTTAAATAAACTCAAAGATTTTACTAGGAAAATGTATTAAATGTCCCGGTAGTTGCAAAAACAGTGGTCACGGTCTCACTTACTAAAGGATGTTTCATCAAAGATCAGTCAAACCAAACTGGCGGCATTCCCACTTAAAGCAACTCATGACGCCAGGAACCAGGAAAACTCTGACCTCTGAGAAAGAAGTCCAGTCGGGTGACCCTGCTGTTCTACGATTTGCTCTCTGACTATTGGCTGCATGTTTAGCCAGGTAATCACCTGCTAAGCCTCTCTAAAGGTGACAGGGCATGGAGAAGGACAGAAATCATGTCTGACAGGAGTCTCTGAAATCATTTACGACCAAGACGGACCGTGAAGCGCTCTGCTCCTGCATCTCAACTTCCTGTCGTTTTCCCGGCACTTAGGTTGGAGATTCGACAAGGTAAGCAGTCTGGAGTGAACCAGGTCTGTGAAGCAAAATGGCCTGTATAATTATTTTTTGTAAGTCAATAGAGGGTATTTGCTGTTTATATCTTGACTCCCTCTTTATTGCAGCATGTCCAAAGCAGCAGACAGGACCTCTTCCACAACGTCCGCCGATTCAGCCTTAGGAGACGGGTGGGTTAGCAATCTTAAATTAATATGGCTTTGAGAAAGCCAAGCAACTTGAAGTGTTTGTTCTCTCACTTTCTTCAGCAAAGATGGTGGCTCGAAAACTAGCACAGCCACAAACTCCCCATCGGGTTCAGTTTCTGAGACACCAAAGAAATCCTCAAAGAAGGCCAAGAAAAACACAGAGAGCATGAACAAAGTCTACAACTCCATCCTCAACAGTGTTTTTGGGGCCGTAAGTAGCCAATAACGGCAAAACTGCATTCATCTTCTTAAACAGAAGAAGTTTTTCATGCACAGTTACATTTTTTTATCTCGACACAAATGCATATACAAAATATATAAAAAAATAAAAACAGCAGTAGTTCACCATCCCCATCGTCTGAACGTCTAAGTCTCATGGCATCTTTCCGACGCTGATCCTGGTGTCTCTGCTGCATTAGTGGCTCTCTAGTAAAGGCTTAATGTCACAGTTTGTTAAGGTGATCCACCAGAAATGTACTCCAACTCCACTTGTTTGTCCTTAAAAATAGCCTCCATGTAAAGTGCTCTGGTGCTTTTAATTCTGAATTGATAATGTTTTGTTTGCTTTGGGTATAAATGTAACCTGAGAAAGTCGCCCACTTCTCTTAGTCACAATGAAAAAAGATTAGGAATACAGATTTTTTTTAAGTCATTTTCACATTTTGTCAATAGTTTAAATATATCAAAGCACCCTTTTTATTTTCCATGAAACTGTATTTCCTGTTTCATCAGGACAGAGACCTGGCTCAAGCTGAAATAGACGGTGAGTCTCATTTCTGCAGCTCCGTATTTATGTCAATAATAGAAACTTGTGAGTGGTTAGAAAGTTAAAATCCTTTTTTGTCAATGTTAAAATATAGAGGACGTCCTTCAAAAATAGGTTGAATTACCCCTTAAATTCCATGCAGTGAGATTTTTATGATAACATTTTCCTTCAGTTTAGTTATGAAAAAACATGTGCATTAATTGTATTATCCCGTTTAGTTTTTGCTAAGAGAGTTTTTATTTAAGTTAACATGATTGATCGTCCCTGGGGCTGTAAATATTTTCTGAAACTTCACAGAGCTGCAAGAAGCCTTCAAGGAGTTTGACTACGACCAGGACGGCTATCTGAACTACAAAGATGTGGCTGAATGCATGAGGACCATGGGATACATGCCCACCGAGATGGAGCTGCTGGAGATCGTACAACAGATCAAGATGAGAAGTGAGTCTGACGAGAAAACATTTCAACCACAGATAACTATCAGACCCGCAGTGAGGGATTCTTCCCTTGGAATAGCACAATCTAAACTCTGACATTTTTAAAAAAAAATTTTATAAGATGGTCCTTTTCTTCTGCTTTCTTTTTACATTTTCAGAAATCTTACTGCACTCACTTTTTAGTAAAATTTGTTCATGTTTGACTAATTTGATCAATAAAATGTCTCTGACTTAAAATAAAGTTCATTATTAAATGTTAATGAAAGGGCTAACTAATCTTTTTAATCCTTCAAATCTTTTGATTAAAGTCCCACTTTCACCATGTCTTTGATTTTTCATTTTTCATCATGAACAAAATAAAGATTAAACCAATTAAAAGTGTTTAATTTGCCTTTAATTCACTTTTTATTTTACCAAACGCGCGGGCGGATCAAATGTGGTGAAAGTCAACTCTTTTTGCTGTGTGTTTTTCCCCCTGTCTCTCCTTTAGTGGGCGGGTTAATGGACTTTGAAGATTTTATTGAATTGATGGGACCGAGGATGATGGGAGAAACCACAAACATGCTGGGACTCAAGGAACTCCAGTCAGCCTTTGTACAGGTCAGCTACTTAAAAAAAGATCCAGTGAAATTGGTGGAAAGAAACAATTAGAGAAAAAAATTGTTCAAATAAAATTTCACAGCAAAATAAAAAAAGAAAAAAAAAGAAAGAAAAGCTGTAGAGAAATTAGACCAAATTTCAGATACAAAATCAGAATTTTCTTCTTCACAATAGTTTGACTTGGATGGAGATGGAAAGATAAACCAGGAAGAGATGAAAGAAGCTCTGAAAAGCCTTCTGGGGGAGAAGCTGAAGAAGGGAGAGCTGGAGGAGATCCTGAAGGAGCTGGACGTTAATGCAGACGGAAGCATCGACTTTGAAGGTGGGAGGTCATCAAACTTTCCATTTTCCATCAGTGCTGGTCGACGACACAATTCTGACTCTGGGTTTTGTTCTGCTTCATTTTCAGAGTTTGTGATGATGCTTTCTATTCACTGAAATCACATAGCAATAACATCTACCTGGGCGTATGACAAGCACAGACGGACAAAATTGTATTAAATAAACCGATATTTTGTAAATCTCACTTCAACGAAGACAAATCCAGCCGTTTTCAAACACAATTTTGTTTGTAATGTGGACGTAGACTTTTAGTGTCCATCTACTGAGCTGTAAAAAAAAAAACCCTATTAACTGATTTGATTTGCATTTAAAGCTGAACATGCTGACTGGTATTTCAGAAAGTGACTGAGTTTGTCATTTTGTCCTGTTATGTAAATAGAACATTATAATCCCTTTTTTGCTATTTTAATAAATAAATTCAAATACAATGAGTCTGTGATTTCTTTATAACAACAAAGATTAGAGAAATTATATCAGCCTCACAATCTCACTTTATTCAGAAAACTTTTTTTTTAACCATGTGAAATTATTGCATTCGCATCAGCATCAAAATATTATAAGTTAAATATAAATTATCCGCTAATAAATCAGGTCTAATCTGCACTCTTTAAAACCAGAGATCAAATAAAAGGCGGTCTGTAGGAATCACATTTGAGCTCAGGTTCAAGAGCATTAACATCTCAGAAGGTTAGCACTACAAGTGACCAACTCTGAGCCATACTTTAGGTTTTAAGATGTGTTCACACACTTTCAGCAGAGTGTGACCACATGTAATGTCCACTCCCTCACAAAACAACACAAAAAAGAAAAAAAAATGGAGTTTTTGCATATAGAGAAGCTTTACTGGCATTCGTCCTGGCGACAAGAAATGGGTTTAAACGTACGATTTCACCCTTAAATTAAGAGTTTTGGTCTTCAGATATATGTTTTGAAACTATGTTTCTGTAGTTCACAGCTTGTAAAACATCTCATGTAAAAATATTGATTAGGCTTCAATTTAATCTTTCCAAATATGAACTAAACTGTATTACAACCAATAATAAAAATATATCACATATATCTAATTATACATCTACTCTTGGAGGATATTCAGGTTTTTTAACTTTGTGCAAACAAACCCCCAAAAAAAGACAAAACTCCCATGTTTGGGCTGAACATTTTAACTTTGCAAAAAATTATATAAAATCAATAACTGCAAATGACATTGTCATTTTTGTCACGTCTAATTTTGACATCATAAAGAATATATCAATTATGAAATCAGACTGTAATTTGAATACTTTCTTAATGTAACAATTTTTAAATTCAGATTTTATTCTTTTTCTCTAAAATGATCTTAATTAATTCCACAAATATTGAAATATTAGCCGTTATATGATTGCATCAGACAACCAGGATCCTCCAAGAGTAATGTTTTCATATTTGTCGCCCTGAAACATACAGTCCAGGTTTGCCTTTATATTTTAACCAATTTTCTGCTAATTTAGAAGATCTTTCTTTTATTTCATCCTCCTCTTCAGGGAATGTTCACTCTGACTTTTGTAAACTTTGTGACACTGAGAAACACCATCAATAAGCAGACTTCATAAACAAATACAGCCCCGTTAAAAAAGAAAGTACACCCTCTTTACATTCTAGCAGACTAGAATTTCATGTTTTAGGGAATAACTTTTCCATACTGGACTCGACTTTTTGAATTGTTGTGTGTCTAAGTAATTCAACCCTCAACATTTAAAACTGGAGGAGGGTGTGCTTTCTTTTCAGCATGACAGTAAGTTTAAACCAGCATGTGATGATGCTCACATTGTTTTTTAGGGCTCAGGTTCTTCAGATTGCTCACATTGATACAGGATGCGCATGCAGTTAAAGCCATACTGTATGCTTTTAAGGTTTCAACAGTTCTTTGAACTATTTCATTTTATGACAGAAAAATAAAGTTCACCACAACACTTCTATAATAGCTATACCCACATTAGTAACCAATTCATTTTGTTTTTATCTCTCTATTGTTGCTGATTTAGATGTTATTAATTCTTCTTTTCTATGTTTTGTTCATTCTTTAAGTCCTATTTTATAACAACTACAAACCTGAAATGTTCCTCACTTTATTATATCCAGTCTTCAGTAAAGAGCAGAAGAGCTGCTGGCTATAAAAACCATCAAACTCCAATTCAGTGCCCTGAGTCTACAGCTCGTTGCTCTGCTCATCTGCAAACTCAGCCATGATGTCGTGAATCCAGACGTCGTGTTCCTCGTGCGAGGTGTCCACCAGGAAGACGCTCAGCTTCCTGTCCCACGGGTTGACGGCGTCCTGCGTGGCCTCCAGCTGGGCCACCAGAGGCTTCTTCTCCACGTGGTTCCTGAAAACGATGGAGGCTTCCTCTGACCACAGCCGCTGCTTCACTCCTGTAGGAAAAGCAAGAGTTTAGATTGTGGCAAAACCTAATACTAGAGCATGGAATAATTTAATCCTAAGGTGCAGGGAAAGCTCATTATTAATCTACCAACAGATTTGAAATCTGAAACTTAATTTCTCATCAAAACGTAATGTTATGCATATAACTACTGTTCCCTGAAGGAGAGGAACGAGGTACAACACATAGAGTATGGGATATCACGCTCCCACGTGACCCAACTGAAGACACCTTTAATCACGCCTTTAGGCAAATGACGTGTGATGACGGGTGGCAGGCCCCGCCCGCATATAAATACACCACATCACCGTCATTATTCAGTTCGATGGCAGCTCTTCACCGAGCCAAGCTGAAATGCGGGGCAGAAAGGTGTTGTACCTCGTTCCTCTCCTTCAGGGAACAGTAGTTATATGCATAACATTACGTTCCCTTTCAGTCGATTCACTCGGTACAACACATAGAGTATGGGACATATATACACGCCCCGCAGAGCAGCCATCAAACCTAATATAAATGCACTGAGTTAGTTTGAAACCTCCAACCCAGCGGAAAGAACAGAATGAGCCACAGTAGGGGCTGTCACATCCAGACGATAAAACCGAACAAAAGTGTGCGGTGAAGACCAGCTGGCTGCCGCGCAGATGTCACTCACCGGGACCCCTCTGAAAAGGGCCCAGGATGCCGCCACACCTCTGGTCGAGTGTGCCCTCACACCACGTGGTAAAGGGAGGCCCTTACTGTTGTAAGCCAGAGAAATAGCCTCCACGACCCAAAGAGAAAGTCTCTGCCTGGAGAGAGCTTTGCCTCTGGCTGGATTTGCAAAACACACAAACAGCTGATCGCACAGTCGGATATCCTGAGTGCGATTGATGTAAAGACTGAGTGCACGTACTGGGCACAGAAAATGCAGCCTTCCTTGCTCATCAGAAGCAAAAGGAGGGGGATAAAAACTGCAAAGCTCAATGGTCATCGTGCTGTAATCTGAAGGGATCACCTTAGGGAGATATGCAGCATTTGGCCTTAAGGTGACCTTTAAACCATCAGCTGAAAACTGAACACAAGAGGGGTGCACCGAAAGTGCATGCAGGTCCCCAACCCGTTTCGCACTCGCCAAAGCAAGAAGCAGAGCTGTCTTGTATGACAGAAATTTCAAATCAACCGACTCAAGGGGCTCAAAGGGAGTGCTACAAAGAGCATCCAAGACCACAGTGAGATCCCAGGAAGGAACACTAGATCTTATCCCTGGTCTCAGTCTACGGACCCCTTTTAAGAAACGCACAGCCAGAGGATGAGCACCTGGTGTCCTCCATCAAGGCCAACATGGCACGCAGAGATGGAAGCCAAGTAAACTTTAATTGTGGAGAAAGACAGACCTTTATCCACTAGCCCCTGTAGGAATATCAAGACATCCACAATGGAGCACTGGAAGGGGGAAATGTTTCTGCCGTGACACCACTGTTCAAAAACATGCCATTTATGGGCATACAAACCCCTAGTGGAAGCTGCTCTGGAACTCTGAATGGTTGCAACCACATCCAAAGGAAGGCCTCTGGCTAACAAACTGGACTCTCAGCAGGTAGGCATGCAGCATCCACAATTCTGGGTGCGGATGAAATACTTCCCCCCCTGCCTGGGAGAGGAGGTCTCGGCGGACAGGGAGTTTCCAAGGTTCCACTACCAGCAAGCTGATTATTTCCGCATACCATGACCTTGTCGGCCAGCGAGGGGCCACCAGAATCAAAGACAGGCCCCATCTGCGTACTCTCTCCAGCACTGGCAGAATCATTCCCACTGGGGAAAAGCGTACAGAAGCACATTGGGCCATGGGTGAGCGAGGGCATCCACTCCCAATGGAGCGCTGTGATCCGTTATGGAAAAGAATAGGGGACAGTGGGTGTTGGCTTTGGTGGCAAAGAGATCCACTGAAGCTTCGCCGAACCGTTGCCAAATCTGCGCAACCACGGATGGATGTAGTCTCCACTCCCTCACCAGTGGGCCTCCCCTGGACAGCAGATCCGCTCCCAAATTCAGGTGCCCAGGAACATGAGTGGCTTTGATAGACAGAAAATGAACGCTGCACCACTGCAGCAGTTTGTGAGACAATTTCAGCAAGGGAAGTGAATGAGTGCCCCCTTGTCTGTTTATGTAGGACACCACAGTGGTATTGTCTGTCCTTATCAGAACATGCTGGTTCAACAGAACCCTGCAAAAATGCCTCAGAGCCAGCAGGACCGCTTGCAACTCCAGGTAGTTTATGTGGAGCTTGGATTGGGTTAATGTCCAGACTCCCCTCACCGCTACGCCATCGCATATTGCTCCCCACCCTCGTAGAGAGGCATCTGTGGACAACACTTTGCGAAAGGACACCCTGCCGATTGGAGACCCACGGTACAGCAGATTGGGCTCCCTCCACGGGCGAAGTGCTGACATGCAAGAGGCAGTTATCGTCAGCTTTCTGTGCAGGTGCCGCGATGTGCTCAGCCGGTGAGAGCGTGTCCAGCGCTGCATCGGACGCATTTTCAACAGTCCGAGTGGAACCACTGCAATCATGGAGGCCATCATTCCCATCAGCTGTAAGACAGTCTGGAAGCGCAGTTTGCACCCCAACTGAAACTGACCGAGGCACCGATGAAACGCGGTCACACGGTGCTCTGAGAGACGAGCTCGAGCTGACAGGGAGCATATTTCCAGGCCCAGAAATGAGAACTGTGACTCGGGTTCAGTGAACTTTTCTGAAAGTTTACAGAGAAACCCAGGGCTTGAATGTGGGATAGCACCTGTGGCAGCTGCTCTGCCGCCTGCTCTCTGGAACTGGCTATTAAAGCCCAGTCGTCCAGATAAGCTAGAATGCGAATCCCCTTTTCTCTGAGGGGCGAGCGCTGTCTCCACAATTTTCGTAAATGTGCGAGGGGCGAGCGACAGACCGAAGGGTAGAACCAGGTACTCGTACGCTACTCCCTCGAAAGCAAACCTCAGAAAACGCCTGTGTTCCGGGTGTATTGCTACGTGAAAATAAGCATCCGTCAGATCGATTGTAGCAAACCAATCGCCTGGGCCGACAGCGTTCAAAAGTTGTCTCAGCGTCAACATTTTGAATTTGTACTTGCGAAGGTACTTGTTCAACACCCTTAAATCCAGGATGGGTCGTAGCCCACCTCCCTTCTTCGGAACAACAAAATAGCGGCTGTACCAACCTCTGTCTGCTTCCGAAGTGGGAACCACACGCACTGCTCCTTTTGCCAACAACGTGTTTATTTCGTCTCTTAGAACTTTCGCTGCTTCTGTCCCCACAGTTGTGTTTACAACTGATTGGAACCGGGGCGGTCTTTTCCGAAACTGCAATCGGTAACCCGTAGCAACGGTCCTTTCCATCCATGGGGAAGGTGCGCATGCGCGCCAGAGAGGCAAGTGTGCAGCGAGGCAGCTGACCTGACGCTCTGTCAGCAAGGAGGTGCTGCCCTCTGCTGGAACGGAGAGGAGCAGCTCCGTTTGACTGTTGCGCACATTGCGGCACACAGTGTTTTGAGTTTGAATTTTTGGCAAAGGAAATGCACTCTTTATTGAAACATGTGGAACAGTCACACAAACATTTCGTACATTCTCTCTCAGTTCCTGAGAAACATTTAGCCCACTTAAACTTGGGGCTGAAAGTGCAAACAGAGTGTGCGTTGGGGTGTTGTGCTTGGGAGACTGTGTGAGGAAAACGCAGCGCCTCTTGGGGCTGGAACCCTGAACAGAACAAGCAAGATGCCGTTTGCGCACAAACGGGTGAGCAGCGGCAATCAGGTCTCCCTGCTTCTGATGCCCCTCTGCCGTCACGCCGTCTCGTGTCGTTAGGATGACTGAGGCTTTTTCTTTCGAGACGTCAGATCTCGTTGAAAACCTGGAGGAGGCCCTTTGCTCCAAGCCGACTGGCGGGGAGTATGCTTTTTCGACGGCTGTGAAATTGTAGTGTTGAGAGCTGCGGGTGGTGCTGCTCTCTTAGGCGGTGCAGGTGTTGTCACCGGCATGCGTGCGTTCATGTTGGGCCTGGGCCTGACGTCACGTCTGGGAATGATGCAACGAAGAGCTTCAGTTTGCTTTTTCTTTAGCTCAAACTTCGCTTGGATTGCATCAAGGGATTGTCCAAAAAGCCCATCTGTTGACACCGGCTCGTCCAAGTATATGGTTCTGTCCCTATCGGGAACGTCAGAAAGCGTCAGCCATAGGTGTCTCTGAGCGACCACTGTGGAAGCCATCCCCCGCCCCAGTGAGAGCGCCGCACAGCGGGATGTGCGAAGAATATAATCCGCAGTGATTCTGATCTCATTCAAGAGGGGGGTCAGATGGCTATCAGGAGGCATCTGAGCTCCGAGCTCGGACAAGCACATAGCTTGATAAGTTTCAAGCATGGTGGCCGAGCTCAAGGAGCGAGCAGCGGTTGCTTGAGCGCGATAGGTTTTCTCCAACTGGGATGCGGAAAACCTGCATTGCTTTGAGGGCAGGGTGGCAGAGCCGCCCACCCCATGGTTGAATGATGGCGCCAGGTAAGCTGCCAAGGACGCCTCCATCGGTGGTAAATTAACCAGACCGGCTTTGTCGGCACCCTCCAGGTCCACGTACTGCCCATAGCCAGGCACCGTAACCCGGGTGGACAACGGTTTGTTCCAGGATGACGTCAGCTCTGAAACAAAATCCGGGAACATGGGCAGGCGGTTTTTAACCGCAGCCGGCTCCGTCGGAAGGTAGAATCCAGTGAACCGGGACACCTTCTGAGCAGGAGGAGGGGTGGGCCACTCAACGTCTAGCTTAGCAGCTGCACGCCGGAAAAGGGAAAGGAACGACGTGTCGTCCTGACCCCCCGGAGAAGCGGCCGCAGCAGAAGGGAGCTGACCGGCGGAAAAATCATCGTCATCGTCTTCAGACAGGCTGTGACTTTCCAGGCCGAGGTCTAGCACATCACCATCATCCTGAGCCGTTTCGGCGAACCCGTCCACGTACTCCATATGGTCTGCCCAGCTTGGAGCGGGGACCGACCAGTTGGAAGTGGAAGCTTTAGCCCCTACGTCCTCGTCAGACTCGGACGAAACCGGGTTCCTAGACTCGGAGAGCATGGGGTCTTGTTGTGAAGCGGTAGCCTCCCCCAGTACTTTCTGCACAAATTTGACCCGCCGTTCAAGCGTGGAGCGCCGAAGCTGGCAACAAAAAGCACAAGCGTCCGGCTCCGACAACGCCCTTCTGGCGTGGACAATCCCGAGGCAGACTGGGCATGCTTCGTGCTGGTCTTTTTCATGAAGCGTGAAGCCGCACTCCTGGGGACAGGGGCGAACGGAAGACTTCTGCTTATGCTTCGTGCTCATCCCGAACCACGAAAAACAAAAAACTAGCGCTCAGCGGGCAGACACGCTAACCAGCAGGCAGCGGTAACTAACACCAACAGGAGCAGTTAAGCTAGTTCTGGGGGGAAAAAAAAGATGCTACCTAGCAGCAGCTAGAAAGCACAGGTTGAAAATTGGGTGTTCTCAGCGAGGTGAAGAGCGTAAGAACTGAATAATGACGGTGATGTGGTGTATTTATATGCGGGCGGGGCCTGCCACCCGTCATCACACGTCATTTGCCTAAAGGCGTGATTAAAGGTGTCTTCAGTTGGGTCACGTGGGAGCGTGATATCCCATACTCTATGTGTTGTACCGAGTGAATCGACTGAAAGGGAACACAGAAATACAGCAGTAATCACACCCATTTAACTAAAAAATATCCATTTATTTTACTGGGATTACATGAGAAGATAGACTGGATTGCTAAGCACGCCTTACAAACGAATAGTGAAACTATAAATGTTGCACCTTGGACTTCCTCCCCATCAGGACTCACCAGCCAGCTGAGCCTGGATGCCCTGGAACGGCAGCTGTCTGAACTTCTTGGTCAGCGTCCGGAGCTGACTGCAGCTGACCAGCTCATGTTTACCATAGTCCAGCTCATAAACCGAAACCAGCCCGTTGGTCAGAACTCCCTTCACCAACACACGGTGCCAGCTGCAATGTAGATGGAGAAATATTAAGGTTTCTCACTCAGATGAACAGAGAACTAGTTTCACTAAGCTCTCAACAAAAGGCCAGCTACTTGTATCTGTTGGTTAATGAAATAAAGTTAATGCTCACTTGTTTTCAATTTTAGCAGCATAAATCTGATTCTTCTCCACTTTAAATGGTTTCTCCTCAGTTTTATTGTAGGAAAGTATCATTTCTCCCATCAGCACCACCAATTTGTACATGTCTCTCCAGGGTTGCAGCACAAAGTGTCCTGGATGACACGCCACAGACACGTACACATCCATATTGTGTCCTGTAAATACACAAAATGACAGCACTGAATGGTGGAATATTTTAATTAAGAATAGCAGAAAAATAATTAGGTTTTCTTTACAGGATTTCTGCTTTTCATTCTCTATTCTCACCGACTTGGGGTAGCTCTAGCAGTGGTGGCAGCTGGAGGAGGTCTGAAGGTGAAGAAGGTGTTCCAGGAGGGCTGGTGGTCGCTGTGTTTCCTCCTTCTTTAGGTGCTGACAGCATCCTCTTGGGATGAGGCTTGGCTATGACAGAAGCCGACGTCGGGCTGCCACTGGCGGAGTCACTGCTGCTCGAGGTCTTGGAGGAAAACGGGTTTGTGGAAATCTTGGTCGGGCTGTGAAAAGAGATAAACAGAAAAAAAAATCCTATTTCACTGCGACCATATCTTAATCAGAAGAGCTGCATGAAGCTGAGCGGGAAAGCAGCAGCTGAGACCTGTGGCTGATCAGGAAGACATCTGGTTGCTGCTTGAACAGGTCGGACTGGGCCATCTGGTGGTTGAGGCTGCGGGCCGGGTCGAGGAAGTTCTTGTCGGTGAACAGGTGGACACAGACGCAGTGCTTGGTTTCATCCACTTTGGCAACCTGGGAAGTGTGGAGGTTCATGAATGATATTTTGCAAAAGTTGCAACACAAACTGATCAACAGTGACGCCCTGCAACTTTCAGACACCCTCCAGATTGACCTTGCTTGATCGTACAGCTATAAAATTTGGTATACATCTACAACGTCCCAAGACCGACAGAAAATTCTCTGGCACCCAAACAGAAAGTTGGCCATTTTGGATTGAAGTTCCAATTTTCACCTAATTTTGAACTGCATTTGATCAAAACTCATCCTTCAGACAAATCAATTGACTTCTGATTTGGTTAGTTTGCTCACTAGGTATTGATTTAAAGTTATCAAAACGGTGAGTTTTCAAGCATATTGAAGAGCAAAACTCGGCCTCAAAGTTTGACGTCTCGCCATGAACTATCCCAACATAGTTTTTAGAGGAATGCTAATGCTAACGTGCTCAATTCAACCATGTGTGGAAGTAATTCTCTATCTGTCTCAGCAGGGTCAAATTTGTTACTGCACACCTGCCTCCATAATACAGGAAGTGATTTCAGTGGTTTCAGTTTGAAGTTGTTGAGTATTGCTAACTCTGGTGCTGATTTTGCCATAAAGTTTAACTCACCTTCATGCTGCAGTCCGAGGTGTTTAACACTTTCTCTCGAAGCCACTGGACCGCATCTGAAGACCAGGACCCCACACTGACCGCCAGGTCTGCTAGGCAGCACTTCACAGCCTGAGCACGAGTTGTTTAGAACATGACTTTGTATAAAAACCACATTTTCAAAGACAGTGACTGACTTCTTTTCAGTGTTGGACCTGAGGTGGGATGGAGACGAGATCACGGAGGAACAGCGGCGGGATCTCTCTGAGCTCAAACACCTCGACAGAAGCCTGGACGCCCACGTCTACGAACAGGATGTCCAACACTCTGCTGCCGTGCAGGTTGGTGATCTGGGTTGGAAAACATTGGGGACAAAAGCCTGCATGACGACATCTATGCTTTCACTACACCTTTAACTCTAAATTTGAGAATAATTATAAGCTGCATCTATTTGTTTGATCTTCAGTCTCACCTCAACACGAGACCATTTGCCTTTATAGCGAGCCAGACATTTTTTCCCACAAAAAGGCCTGGACACCAGAAACTCTGACGTCACCTGGAGAAAAGCAGACATCATGTCCATCCCTAATGAGACTTTTCCCTGTCTGGTTTTTTGCAGCTGTTTGATAACTAATCTTGAATGACAGGATTTGTTTTTCTATGCAATCATATATCAGGTTTGGGTCAATTTGTGAAGAATCTAATGCTTAATTAATCATCTTAGCATTTTCTCCTTCATGCAGTGACTCTTTTCTTCAGTAGAGGTTAACAAAGCTTATTACCGAACACAAAGGATTATTCTCTGAGGACAGCAGTTTCATGCGTCTAAATCCCTTCTAAATGTTTGCGTCTTGAATTGACTCAAAAAGAACATCTGCAGACTTCCTGCTGACGTAAAGCAGTAATGCTTTAAAGGGTGGCAGAGGAGCACCTAGAAAAGCAACTGCTTCCTGTGCTGCTAACAGATTAAGTTCCTTGGGAATGTCTTTACTCCAGATTATCGGCCTAATCTCAATCTGTACTCAACACTGCATGAGAGGAACAACACGGCACCACTAAACGTCTAGTTCGATTTAGTTTAGTTGCTGATATACATAGCAACTTTAAGGATCCTGTATAATAATGCTAGTAAAAATACTTTCATATCAACAAATAAGTATATTTATAAAAAAATACAAACCCAAACATTAATTAATTTAATGTACACAGCCATAAAAATGAATTTTGTAGTTACTGAGTAAGGGACAGATTCATACAAGATCTTCTCTTCTTCCTACTCTGCTTCCATTCATGTGAAGCAAGCGTTCTAAGTGCATGTGTTTGTGAATTAAGATTTGTTAAATTGAGTGGATAAATGAATTTATTAATTTAAAAACTCCTTGATATACAAATATGAAATCTGGAGACTTTCACAAATCTATTTCATTTATAAATCACACGTCATACTGAAAGAATCTTAAAGTGCTGCGCAAAATTAATGTAAAAAAAACAAACAAAACAGCAAACCCCCCACAAAAATAATAAAAACTTTTCCGTTCTTTTAGATGTTAGCATGAGGAACATACTGCAGTCTTGCTACCTGTGTGTGGAAGTAATTCTCTATTTTCTCCAATGTCTCATTCAGCTTAGCAAGTCCTCTGGAGGGAAGCTGGCAGTAAATGGTCCCATCGGAGCAAACACTGCTGACGGTCACATTCATATAAGCGCTGTTCACCTGGGGATGAACAGACTTTTAGCCGCTGTGAACTCACAGACCTGAAAACACACACCCCGGCCTCCTGTGTACCTGTAACGGACTCGCTAGCGTCTTGTCCTGTAGGGATTTCATGCAGGCGGCATTGATGTTCACGTCATCGTCCTGAGACGTGTCGTACAGGACCACCAGAGGGACGGGACCTCGCTCTAAGATTTCGGCCAGGAGGATCCGTCCACTCGCCATCGCCTCAAACGTCTTCAGAACCACGGGTTCCTGACAGAACGGCTCCAGGCCTGAGCGGGAAAGGTGAAACCACTTTTAATTTGCATCACAGATCTTTTCCATTTGTTAATTTTTACACTTCAATCACAAACTTCAATATGTTTTATGAAGTGTTGGGGAGATAATTCAGCTCTCTGATTCATGTGTGTTGAAACTGGGATATACGAGTTGAGGATGTGGGTTAGATTTAATGGGATTCTAATCATGGGTATACCACACATCATACTGAAAGAAAAATAAAAGTCATTACATTTTGCAAGGAAATCATGGATAATTTTCTTTCACTTCACATCTATGCCCTTCTTGTTAAAGTGAAAAGTGGAAAGTCATTGAGAGTGCAAGTGATGTTTTGCAAGTCAATAACTCCACAAATTCACTGGGTTTTCTTTTCAGACGTCTTAAACTAACTTGAAAAATAACCTGAAATTAGTGTACTGTTTGATAACTAGGATTAACTGAAATGTATGTCACTGATTTGAAATAACTTTTTTTGTAAAGACAACATGCGTTGTGCATTGTTGCAATATCAATGAACCAAGTTGAATTGAATGCATTTGTGGCATCTTTAGTAACCCACCTGCCAGTTTACACTTGGTCGCCTGGAAAGGCAGCTTGAAAAATTTCTCATGCAGCTCCAACACTTTGCTTTTACTGATCACCTCTGAGAAGCCGTGATCCACATAATAGACCTGCAGATGCAACAACAAATGAGTTACCCTGCAAAAACATGACATCTTACCAAGTATTTTAGTTTCTAGTGCAAATGTGTTAGTGTTAACGACATGGAAAAATATCTTGTCATAGGTGACATAATCTGCCAGTGGAAGTAGTACTTTTACATCAAGGTACTTGTAAGTGTTCGAAGTTGTTTGCACTACAAGTTAGACAAAAATACTTGTTAAAATCTCATTCAGTGTTTCTCATCTTTGGTTGCTGCCTGGTTTTGTGCATTTACCTTGACTTTGTCAGACATGACTTCACATATTTGTGCCCTCAGGATCTCCTCCTCTTCCTCAGCCCGGACTGCGACGAGTTGGCCTGAAGAAGTAGAAGACAGAGGGACTTGCTGGCTTTTGTCTAAGGCATAAAACTCCCTCATCTCATCCTCCATGGAGTCCTGCGCCACTGAGTAACCCTCGCCGATGTACCTGCCAGAGGAGGAGCGGTGGACAGTGAGATGTCCGTGCTCCATCAGTTCATAAGTGGATAATTTGCTTCCTTCCCACCTCAGTATAACAGAGTTGGTGTTGGTGGCCTCCATCACCAGAACGGAGGGATATTCCTCCTTGGGGATCTGCAGAGTCGGCACCTCATGGTTGCTGAGACTCCTCCTCAGCTCAGATCTCACATTCTGCTCCTCTTCGCTGGCGGACGAGCTCCTCCTGTTGCAGTTCTCATCCTCCCCTCCAACGCTGCTCCGCCTGTACAGAATGGCCCGCTGGGGGTTGTCAGACATCGGATAGTCGATGGTGCAAATGTCGGAGAGGAGGTCAAGGTTCTCCAGCACATATCCGGGCAGTTTAATCTTGTAAAACAAAAACAGAATGATATTAGCAACATTTGGACATGTAGGACTAGTTTTCAAATCTGATAGTCCTATTGAATTGTTTGATTGGGGACCAAAATTGCAACATTTGTTACATTTTCAGCTCCTGCGGTTTGCTTTGACACTGAACTCTGTGGCATCAGATTTTAACGGTTGGAGGATTTCTCTTTTGTCTTTTGCAAAAAAAACAAAAAACAAAAGTCAATTCTCCCACTAGCGCTAGACTGCCAATTTTGTTCTGGTTGTATTTACCAAGTCCGCTTGGCATTCACATACACAATCAAACCACACCACAGTTCACTTCAGCAGAACCAAAACCTGAGTTTGGTTTATTGTTTGGTTTATTGGTCTGCATCAGAGTTGATTCTGTATTCACACTTCCCCAAACAAACTGGACTAAACAGGGCTGGTGTGAATGCATCCAAAATGTGCATCAAAGTGTGTGTCACTAACTTTGTATGTGTCCTGGAAGAGCTTGGGCAGTGCATGGGCCCACAGACCACTGGAGTACTTCATCAGCAGCTCCTCGAGTCTCTGCTTCAGATCAGGGGTGAGGGCTGCCGGGGAGGAAGGAGGACTGGGAGACCAAGAAGAAGACCGGGGAGACTGGGAGGACTGGGGGGACGGAGGGGATGGAGGAGGCAGGAGAGACTGGGGAGACCGGGAGCCAGATCGAGCCAGAGGGTTGATGTGGGGCCTCTTCTGGACCGGGGAGGCTTCAGCAGGTGAGGTGGTGGAGCTGTTAACGGTCTGGGAAGGGGCGGGTGTGTTGGATTGTTCTGTGGCAGGGTAGAGGAGCAGCTCTGAGGAATTACTACCACAGGTTTTCTCCACCTAAAACAAAAATAACAACTCAACAACCCGTTTTGTTGTAGACTTGAACGTGAACAAAAGATGACTTTTTACATCTGATAGTGTTGAATTAATGCATTCCAATGAGAGTCCACAGCATGTTTGATGTTCACAATCCAACATGATCTGACTTTAAATGTGCCTCTTTCTCACCAAGTTTTTATTGTAATTTGAATGAGATTTTTTTTTTCAGCATTTTGTGTCAAAACTGCAGTAAATCTGAAGGGTTAAATACTTAAAAACAAATATAAAGGCTCTGTCATGTCAAGAAATTTACAAGTTTCTGTTAGGTTAAGCAACAAGAAATCAAGTTCTTTGACTAATATCCATAATAAAGTTTTTCTTTCAAAAACATTTGTTTTCAAGACTGCTCAGTAAATTTATGAATCATAATTTACCTCCTGGTGGCTGCCTTCCTGAATCAAATAAAAATATCAATACATCTCTTTTTAGGCAAATTAACATTTGGCTTAAGTAGTCTAAAATGATTAATTCCTCTTAAGCATGTTGTATTGGGACCAACGAAAGCAGGTACTTTATATTCTCACCCCAGAGAAGGGGTATCGAGTGTAACTTGTGGCTACATTTACATTCGCAAGGCAGCACAAGGCTGCAGGACCGGTTTCAAAGAGGAAAGAAAGGTTGGAGTGGATCTGCTTACTCCAAGTGAATCTATTGTTCAGTGCTACTAAAAACTTTTAAGATAAGTAACAAAAAACCCAAGCATCTAAACACCTTAGTGTAGCCCTGTCCTGTTTCTGAACCTTCTGATTTGACATTTAGCTATCGAGTTTACTGCATTTCAATTAGCTTTTTTGCTAAAAGATATTTATGAAAAAAGCAGTTCAGATTGAGTGCATACAATGCATATGTGGGTCCAGGTCTCCAGGTCTTTGATGGCCTCTGAGGGCAGGTCCTGTTTGTACAGCTCTCTGTAGATCTGAGGCAGTTTGGACACCCAGAAGCCATTGCTGTACTTGGCCAAAATCTCTCTGATGCGACTCTGGACCTGCTGAGGGTTGTAGGGGTTTCCTCTGCCCGGGCCAAAACTCTCGTTTAGATTCACCGGTTCTGGAGGAAAAACAGCAGAGCAGAAGAGCAATTATTTCACAAACATCTGGAAACTTAATGGTTTTTATCAAAGCAAGGAAAGAGGTTAGAATCAGAAAAATATGGATACAAGAATAACACATCAGTATTATTTTGAAAATATAAAATACATGAATCGATATATATATGAACCCAATTTATCAGATTTGATCTCTTTGGAGGAATTCTGCCACTACAATACCTCACTAGAGGTGTACTTTGACTAGGTCTTTTAGGTATTTTTACAAAGCGAGGAATGCAAAACAACCAGCTTGCCATCAGAGTAGTGATTCCACTACTTTGGAAAAAGTATCACTTACGGCCGGTCTGCTGTGGATTTCTGGAAAGGTGAGCTTGCATCTCCTTCTGAAACCGCGTCGGGAGGATCATTCTCTTGTCTGGTCTGTACAAAGAGAACCAAACAGGGACGTGAATACATTGTTATTTGTTTGTCAAAGTAAAACAAGAAAAAAAAAGTTTTTTAAACTAAATGTTTCGGAACCCCTCTGCTTTTCTTTTAGACCTATGATTTTGAAAAATGTATTTGAACATTATACTCCCATGAATCTACAAACTTTCAATTGAAAGTGAAACTGATGGTTGACCTTAGTTTTTGATCAAATTTCAGATTATTACCATCTGACTTTGTGAAGGCAGTCAGAACATCAGCATCTGAATATCAGCTTGTTAGCTGATCTTTAAATGGAACAAACAATAATAATAAAACAAATACAAAAGTAATGCACCTCATTCTGATGCAGCAGAACACTGTGAATCTCTAACAATTGATCCAAATGGACACGTCGTATCCAGAATGAGAATTCATAAAAAGTAACACACATGCTGTATGTACCTTTAAGACCCAACAGAATTTGATGTAACTCCTCATTTCTTCACACTTAGACATGTGTAATGTTTTGCAACATACCTCATTCATGGGAAGATTGGAAACTGTTACAGGGGCCCTTAGTCAATCAAATGTGTTTGATTGACTGGTTGTATTGAAAACCAGACAAAATATTCAAGGATTGGCTTATATTCAAAACAGAACTGGGTCAGGAAATTAACTCAAATTTGCTCCATTTCAAGCAAGTACGCTTAGGGGAAATAAAAGGAGTAGTATTTCATTAAAATTGTATTAACTTTACAACTTTTAAAATCTAGATCTTTAAATGATAAAATATTCATTTATAAAATCATTATGTATTTCCCAGTTATATAGTTTTAAACATCAAGTAAAGAACTACAATTTTAATTTTCTCTACATTGGGTGTAAAATCCAAACTTTATGATTTGTAGAGTATGCATTGCATTCTCTGGGATTAAATAAAAACAAATTCATTTTCATAAAAAGAGTCAATAACATTATGTGGAACCTACACAATCTCTTTATATCACTAAATTGCTAACTTCGGCAGAATACCTCCCTCTCTCAAAAACATTGTTTTTCTATATCTATGTGAAAACTTACTTTTCCTTTATCACCAAATTAAACCACAGCTCAGCCTTTTGGACTACGGTTTTCAAATTTACAACCTTTACTCATGCACACAAATGAAGAAAGATCTACATGGATACACACAGATATGCTGATTCACTCTGTGTCGGTTTAGAAGAGTTAATCTATCAGAGAATAGAGGAGGGATTAAAAAGGTTTATGTCCCCCTGAGCTGGGCTTGTGTCCCCTGCCAGTACACCGGGACTCCCATCCAGGTCTCCCTTTGTACTGCAAAAGCTCAGCAACAAAATGGACTTGGATGGATGTTAGTGGTTGAATCAGTCACAAAGTTAAGGTCACTCATTCTGTCAATGTAACGTCAGCAGAGTATGTCTTACAATTTAATCTTTTTTCAAGGTTTTGTTGGCTCTAGTGTTCTTTATTTGAAAGTGGTTAAATAGGAAAGAGGGTAATCAGAGAGGGGAAGACATGTGGCAAATGTCGCCTGACCGGGAATTGTACTTGCGACCACCGTCATGAGGATTATGGCCTCAATATATGGGTTGTGCTTTGCCCCTGCGCCGCCACAGCACCCACAATTTAATCTTTTTGAGAGTAAATCGTCAATTTCACTTACTTATTAACACTTATTTCACATAAGCTTGTATAAATGATAATCTGAGTTCTATAGATTTAGTAATTTTATTGATCTGTGTAAAACTACTTCCTGTACACTGAAGCATCCATTAGTATATTTGTTTCACACATTTAGTTGAATGATGCTCCTGCTGTTGACACTTAAAAGAGTTAAACCATCATATTTAGAGTCTGATCAGTAATTGAAATGAATCAAGCTCAGCATCTCTAACTCACCTTTCTATCGGTTGGCTCCCTCTCTTATAGGCTTTGTACTGACCGGACAGCCTGTAAGGATGTACCCCAGACCGAGCCTCTGACAGGACATCCCTCAAGTCTCTTGTCTGTCTGAAGTCTCCATGTCCAGCTCCACGGCCGGCGCCTGCTCCTCTTCCTCGGCCTCGGTGGTTTGGCTGCCTCAGAGAGGTTTGGGGTTTAGCTGATAAGAAAAATACCACAAATTAAGTGAGTGTCTCAGCTAACTCTGATGGTCTAGTTGTATTTTTTTGTTATTTGACTTTTTTTTTCTTCCCATATTTATAAATTTCAAATTATTTTTTCAAAAATGTTCACTTGTATTCAATATGATTGCAGGGAAACTTTTCATTAATGTTCCAAAAAACTGCACAGATTTCAGGAAGATGTGGCAACAATAATTATCTCTAATCAATGCAACATGGTTACTTTAATTCCTCTTGTGATGTCATCGACTCAAACACACACGCAGCAGCCCTGTAGTTTCCTCCTGCATTGCATTCAGTCAAATTTATATTTGCCTCTATATACTGCAGAGAAAATCCACAAATTTAACTGAACTGTGTTTTTATTTTCCATGCATATTTGTTGGTGAAAAGAAAACACTTCATGTGATGGCATAATTAATTTAACTTACACTACCCAGGCCTCTCATCTTTACAAAATTACATCAGCCAAGCTCAGAATGACATCACATTTCTGTTGCATGGCATCAGAAGTGCGCTGCAATCATTATTCCTGTTGCTGCTGTGCCCACTCATTCTTCAATCCCCCTTTCTTCCAGAACTTTCCGCTGCTTTTACATCCACTCTGCTTTTGCTCCCACTGAATCTGCTTTTATCGCACCGGTAGCAACAAGAACCGACCACCAGCTTTAAGAGCCTTAGTCAGCAGACAGTTTCTGCCCCAGCCCCTGAGTCAACACACACAAATGCATAATGCAGAACCATTCCCATGCAGATCGAAGTAAGGACAACCTCTTACACGCACTGAGAGTGAACGCCACATCACCTTGCCGACGTGGACTCACAGCTCCCGGTCTGTCTCTGCCTGAATATCAATAACCCCGGCAGTGAGAGGAGGATGAGAGGGAGTGTGGAGGAGAGCTTGATTTGTGCATCAGCTTCTCTTCCTTGGCAGCTTAAACTGCATCACTCCACTCCATCTCCCTCCTTTTCTGTCACCAGTCCTCAGCGCTTCAGCGTTTCTCTCCGTCTATGTTCACCTCAAACCTCCTCCCTGCTTCGTCCACTTCTCTCTCTCTTTCTCCCTCCCCACCGTGCCGCTACCACCCATCCCCTCCTCTGACTCTAAGAATATTCTGCAGCATCACCGTCTAGTAGCATTACAAGAATAAAAAGTTGTCTGCTGGTTCCTGCATTAAAGTCATAGATATGCACAAGTATCGCAGTTTTTCTGAGTTATTTAGCCAGACGAGAAAAAGGTAAAAGCTATGTAATGTATGTATAACTGATTGTCATTGCACACCCGATGAATAGATGCCTAAAATACCTCGAGGGTCGACACAATAACAGTAAAAAGAGGCCAGTTGTTCATCTTCAACCTGTCAGGCTGCAACACACAGAGCCTGTGCCTCTGCTGCAATATCCCAGCCCTGATTCACTACCAGGCTTTAAACCTGTCATTTCACATACATTGTCTTGCTAATACAAGTCAGTGTATTACAGTTCCATGACCTTTGAACTGTTCCACTTTATATAGCTACCATGATCATTTCAATGTACTTCACAGAGATTTTTGTACCAGACCAAAGGACAAACGGTTTTCACTTTATTGTTTAATTAAACAATAAAAAATATGGCATGCGTTTGTATTCGTCCCGCTTTGCCTTGATAACCCAAAATAAATTCCAGTGCAGTTAAATGCAGAGAGCATCTAATTTATTCTCAGCATAAATTCAGCTGCACTGTGAAGGCATTTTGTGTGATAATGCATATTTTGCTATGGCCTCTTAGCTACACAAGTATTTTCTACAAGTTGTCACCCCTACATATGTGATTTTGCACACAGCATAAACTAGTTTGTTTGGTAAACTCACCATTGAGGACTAGAGGAACCGCCGGTTTAACTCTCATCTGGGTGTTGACCAGGTGGTGTCGGCCGGTTCTCTTGGAGCTGCGTTGTCGGGCCACCACCTTGGCTGTGTGTGTTGCCTCCTTGGCTCCAGAGGAAACATAAACCACCTGGAAAGAGACATGAAAACATCAGGGCACTCTCAACTGTTTCAAAGAGATTTGACTTCTAGCAACTTTTAGGGAATTTACAGAATTATTTTGAAAGCATTTAAACCAACCAATTTTGACATGCTCATTCATTTTAGTTTACATATTTCATTTGTCACACATTCCTTTCTGAGTACCACATCGTGGCGACACTCGCCTCTCCAGAACCTCCCCTCTCCATGCGAACAGAGGACGTGCTGGCTAACAGAGCCTCCACTTGGACATGTCCGATCTCTTGGTGCGGGATCTGGTCTCCGGTCAGCTCCTTGTAATCCGACTGCAGACGGGACAATGACACTCCACCTCTGTTGGCCTGGACGATGGCATGCAGCGTCCGTTTCACCAACTCCACTTCAGTCATCCTGGGTAAGTAAAAAAATGGAAGTAAAACTCTACTTAAAACAAAAAATAAATAAATAAAATGTACGATGTTATTAAAATATATTGTAAAAAATCTTAGTGTTCAGAGGGAATTGATCTTTGCTGCAGATTTAGTCAAACCTGGATTACTAATTATCAATCTAACTGAAAACTGCCACAAACAGCCAATTAAAATCATAATTCATGTTTATTCCTTTTCTTTAACGTTATATCAGCAAGTGACAAACAACTAATTGGCTATATAATGGGAGTGCAGCTGCAGTTCCACAGCCAAAAGTGGCTCTTTGGCTAATATATTAAAATGATGAATATTGCTCTGTTCTGTTTCACTTTGAATTTTTTTGTTTTTTTTTGTTTTGTGTCCCCATGAAAAAACATTACCCTCTTGATAAATTTGATCTAGAACCTGAAGAAAAGACTAAGGCAATGAGTCATGTAGTAAACTGTTTAATTAAAATGAAATAATTTATGCTTATAATTGGTAAATAGTACAAAAAGTGAAAATAGGAAGACATTTTCCCTCAACACTGATAAATTCAGTAATTAAATTTTAAAAAACTGCATTTATATGAAAGAAACATCAATGAATGAATCATTTTAGATAGTTGCTGACATTTTTGTCAATTATGAAAATAATGCAATATCTAGTTCAGACAAAGCTATTTATCTACCATTGCCATTTCTTCTTAATTAACATTTGTTATATACAGTGTGAACTACTTAGTATCCACTTATAGTTAACACTTGCTTGCTAAACTTATTTCAGAAATGAAAACAAGCCTACCATTTAAATCTCCGAAAATATTGCAGAAATGCTTTTTACTTTTCTAGTTTAGATAGAACCATCTAGACGGGGAGAACATGGAGACACACCCTGATCGGGCAGCCTGAGCTTTAACCAGAGGAAAACTTCAGGACAAGTATGAAACTTATCGCTTCCAGAGGCGATCAGCCATGAAAACATGCAGAAACGTCCAGTCTATGCATGGATTAGTTCATATAATAGCGGTGAAATCTACTCGTGCAATGAGACGTCTACAATGTCTCATTGCATTGTATTGATCACTTGATGTGGGACAGAGAAACTGACGTAACGCTGTCACTCCAGCGCCACACCCTCCATAAGGGACCAAGCTGCTTTCCTCCAACTTATCTGATATTTTATTGATTAGGCCACAGATATTCCTCAAACCTTTACGTTGGATACAAAAAAACACCTGTTGGATCCAGAACGCTGTCTGGTTTCGGTATCGATTCGAGTTAAATCCCCAGAACAGTTCATGAAAGTGGCTGAAACACGCGCTCACCAGACCGGACGTAGATCAAAATTGACCTTCAAAATAAAACTACCGACGCGTCTTCGATTGCAGTTAGAATTTTACGTTGAAAACACAGACCGGAAGTACAACTATTATCCAAAGTTGCTAGCGGTTTTAATCATCTCAAGATCAAAACACAAAAAATGCACACTTAACCAAACTTTGTCACCCCTGAGTACTTTATAAAAAGTTGGTGCGAAGAGACAGAAGCTTCCCGACCTTGTTGAGAAAAATCGTAGCGCAGCCGCAGTGGGTCGATTCGCTCGCTGTCAGAGGTGTCACCGCCACGGGGCTGAGCTGCGGCCGACCGGGGATCCGTATCCCGTGCTACTGCCAAGCCGGGTCCGCGAGCGGCCTCCTTTCCGCCCATCTGATTGGTTGATGACAGTGCTGCGCTATCCAGAAGCTGCAACACAAGGTGGAGGAATTCAGATTTTCACTAGATATGGTTGTCTTGGGAATAAAACAGAAATAAGGTATAAATATTTTAAAAACAAAACACTTTTTGATTAATGCGTCTAAACTATTTTCTATCTAATAATTTAAAATATACAAACAAACATTTAAATCAGTGGCAAGAAGTTTTGGGATCATATGAAAATTAAGAATTATACTTCATTTAATGAATATACATTTAAAACTTAATATAAGTTTTAAACTTAATACTAGACAATATAAGTGAGGTTATATTGTCCAGTGTGTTACCCTGCAATGTATTGTTGACGTGTCCAAGGTGTGCAAATCACCTAATGACCAGTGGAATAAAGGTGAAACAAATTTACAATTTCATACTCCATGGACTTCAAATGGTTAACTCGTCAGTTTATTTTCTGAACGAGTAGATTCAGTTGTGGTTTTAAAAGCTATACAGGATGAAAGAGAGCAGATGGTTATTTACAACAAACGTTCATCCAATAACAAGAGACACTGTTAAAAAGACAGAGTATAGTAGCTCATCCAATTTCCCCCTCCTCCAGAAACACCAAACTTGATGTAGCTTCTATGAGGAGTAAAAGACACAGAATAAAGTTAAAAGTTGAAATAACAAATTGTGAACAATTGGAGAATAAGAGAATGTTCCAGGAGAAAGTCAGTTTATCCTTTGTCAGCCTAAGGCCAATAGCAGCATTACAAGAGATAGCTCAGTATTCAATAATTAGTCACCCCTCCATGATTATTGTCCTTTGTTGCATAAATTTTTATTTCCTGGAGAAAATGATCTGTAAAATATGTTATTCTAAAATGTGATAAAAACACCAGAAATGTTTCAACATAGAATAAAATTAATTTAATTAAAGACTGCTTAGGACAGGGAAATAAATATTTACTATTTTTAATAGATACATAAAATATACATAGAATATGATTTCATTATTTCTTGTTTGCTTTTGACGGAGGAGAATAATTGATTCCGGTCCTCACCGCTGGGTGGCGGTAGTGCGCCCTTATGTCCACCCTAAAACGAGAACAAGAACCACAACAACGGAAACGAGTTGTCATAAGCCGGAAGAGACTTGGATTAGCAAACCAGAGAATCTCAAAAACACCAGTGGGTCTGAATGCTTGGATGAAAGCTTGACAGAGCCACATTTGACAGCAGATTTCTCTGTTTGCCTGGTAAGAAACATTAAAAAGAAAAAAAGAAAAGCAACTCGATTTTTGCTTTGTTGGTTGCTAAATCTGTATAGCTTTCGAGTTTCAGTTGACTAGCTAGCTTTTTCCAGCAACTTCTTTAGCTTTTGGGTTTATCTATGAAGTTATAAATTTGTGAATCATCCAATTTATTTACAGAACCGTCTGTTATCGTCAAATTTGATTAATTTACGCAAGAATATTGTGTCTCACCGTTCATGACTTTTCTAACAGTGTAGCATTAGCAAAAGATGGCTAAGCCAGACTTGGTTGCATTTTATCCAGCAGATGCTGTAAAATGTATTCAGTTTTTTTTTACTATATGCAATTTTGTATTTCTGTAATCCGCATTAGTACCTGAAAGAGAATATGACATAAAACTACAAAATAGAAAATACACAACAAAGCGGAGTTGAAATAAAAAAGTTAATGTCTGACTGGAAAGTATTCAAAACAACATTTATGTAATAAATGCGTCTTCCGATAGTGCAAATAAAATAAGTTAGAAGGCATTAAATATGACTAATACTAAATACTTTACACTGGTGCAGACGTATCCAACTCTAACCCTCTGGTTTTGCAACTCTTTTCTCACGCTCCTCCAGTCAAATAGCTGACTTCCCTTTTGGTAATGAGCCATTCATTTGATTCAGGTGTGATGGAGAAGGGACACAGCTGCAGGTCGCAGAATGGTAGCTCTCGAGGATTAAACTTGTAAAATTTCGAAGGAACTCTGGCCTTTTTTAGACAGATTTTCTACAAAATATGGGATTGGAATTATTATAACCAGATTTGATCTCAGTTGTTAAAAGGTTGTCTCTATCAATTTGTCAAATTTTATTTACATGTTTATTTTCAGGTTCCAAATTTAAAGTCTAATGTGTACAAATATTTGCCACGAAGTAATAAACTGAAGGACATATTTACCTGTGACGATGTGTAAAAAGTATTTCAATCATAGGTTTGTATAAGTACTGCCTACTGGTGCTCACCAGTTAAGATTTCAATTGGTTCATCATTAATACATTTTGGGACTTCAGAATACAGTAAATCTCTACGGCCCATTATTGTTTAAAAAAAATTACACAACTTATTGGACCAGCTATTGTTTTTATCATTGAGACTAATTAAATGAGACTTCTGGTGTCTGAAAAAAACTGTGGCGTCTGCTCCCTTTTATGTCTTAAAACATTCTTCTAAGACCACAAAAAGCAGGAAAAAATGAACATTTTGAGACATATCTCTTAACACACTCTAATATGACCTAGTTAGAGGTTGTGACATTGTCACGCATTGTTTCAAATAGTGAGGACAAAACACACTGTACCTTAAATGACTAGTATGATCCTGTTAATCTCATCCATCTCTGGTTTGTGCAGAACATTTAGCTCAACATCTCATTATAAGTCAGCTGTGACGTTTTGTAATGTAGCGCAAAGATTCCGCCCTAAAGTCTCCTGATTTGCTGCTTTCACTTATCTTTGGGAGAGAGAGGAGGCAGGAATGTAAAACTAGACAAAACAAAGAGCGGCAGAAACTTTGAATGTTTTTTACTCGACTGGAAGGGAAACCTATTCCTGGTTGTAATCATGGCTATGAACAGAAGACATTCATATACGCCCCGGGTGAGTAACAGGTCGTATCAGTAACATGTCAAAGAATGACATGTTTAAGACACTGATGTTTCTTTATTTAATTAATATATAATTAGTAGGCTGTTTTAATATAAATGAAAAATAATCAATAAGTTTGTTATACTCACCATTCAGGAGATGCAGGACTCGTATTCATCGAAGCAAAATTTCAAGTCATTATTAACCAGTTTGTTGACTCCTAACTTGTTAAAATAATGCCAGTGTCTTGTGTTGGAACTTTGAAAGTAGAGGAATAATATATCTTAAATGTTTCTTTTTTTTTCCCTCACCGGCTGCCTAAGAATCCAAACCAGTGTGAATTAAAGTGTCCTACAGTCCTTTTAAAGCTTGTTGTCTTTCTCCCAGACCTACTTTGCTGATATAAGGGGCTCTTTGTATGAGATGTTGCTGCTTTTTTAGGATGTTTGTCGTCAGAGGACATATGACTGAGGATGTGACGCTGTCTCTGTTCTCGGCACCCTCAGGACTGTTGTTGAATACAGCCCTATTTTCCTGTTCATTTGGAGATGTTTTCAAGTCAAATACGTAAAGTAGTTTTTTATCATGCTCCTAATAAAACATATTAAACATCCAGAGTAGACTGGGATGAATATTTGGGCAAAAAAACAATACATTCTCTTGAATAAAACTTCTCCAACTGGTTATTGTGGTGTTTTTGTCCTATTTTACTTCACATTTCCATGGCTAATCAACTTTCTTCCCTCATATTTGTAATCTTCCCCTCAGCTGACCAGCCCATTGATCAGCAAAATGAGCAGCACCGGATCAGTAGAGAGTGTTAAACCTCCAAAGGTAGGTTGCTTTTTCAGAAGCCATAAAGGAAAGCAAATTCAGACTTCCTCAGAGTTAAAGTACTCCCATTATTCCTTCAGATCGGCTCCAAAGTCGAAGTGACTGGTAAGGGCCAGCAAGGCACCGTTGCTTACATCGGTGCCACCCTGTTTGCTTCGGGCAAATGGGTCGGCATCATTCTGGATGAGCCCAAAGGGAAGAACGACGGCACCGTGCAAGGAAAGCGCTACTTCACCTGTGAGGAAAATCACGGGATATTTGTCAGGTCATCCCAGGTTAGTGATGAACCATTACTCACCACCAGAGGGTGCCTCCAGGGGGTTTAATTTTCAGATAAGGAGCACTTCATCTTGAGAAACTAAAAGGATAATTTCAGATTAATCAGGTATTTTTGCTGCAAAACAAGAAAATTGGGCCTCTTCTAAAATGAACATATAATTTTTTTTCACGTCCTTATAAGCCAAAAATACCAGTTTGATAAGTTAGTGCATGACTGTTTAGCTTTTGCAAGGTTTAATACTGTAAATTTCTGAATTTCTGACACAGATAATAGACAATGGTATAATAGAGATTATATTTAAGGTCTTTAAATTTCAAATGAATTTCACATGAAATTGTTGACAGTTTTGTCCTGTGCTGCTTTCGTATAGGGTGGGTTCAGATGAAAAGTTCTGTTCAAAAAACAAATCAGCATATTTAAATCATAAGTAATAAACAAAATTAATTTACAATGAATAAATAAATAGAAAAAAATACATATTTTAATAATGACTTCATTTCTTTTTTTTATTTTACTTATAATTCTGAAAAGTGCAACATAAAGTAGTAATTATATTTACAGTAGTTTCCACTCTTCCTTACTTTTACTGTCAATTTTTCTAATACTTCTCTATAAAAAGGATTTTCTAATGTGTAACCAGATACAAATTATCTCACTTCTTTCATTGTTAATCAGTCACAGGCAATCTTCTCTACCTGGTGTTTATCTCTGTGCAGATCCAAGTCATCGATGATGGCTCTGCTGCCACCTCACCAGAAACCCCTGATGCCAGCTTGGCAAAGACGCTCAAACAAAAAGGTGAGAGACGAGCACAGAAATCTACAGCGGGGATGTTTGTGAAACATTAGTGTCAGAAGAAATTACAAAAGTCATCATTTGTCTTTCCAGACATTCCTGAGACTCCCAAAACAACAAAGCAGGTAGTAAAGGAAATGTATCCACATTGTTTCTATTTCTTCTTGTTTTAGAAAGTTAAGTGTTTAACTCTTTGGAAATTCAGTTAGTTTGAGCATTTTGAAGGTGAGAAAGTAACACAACATGCTGAAATGTTGTAAGTTCCAAATCTGAA